ATCAAGAAGGGATTGATGGATCTTCGCATTCCATTGACGCGAAGCCTGCTTAAGACCATAGATAGCCTTCTTGAGCAAGCAAACGTGATCCTCTTTCCCCTTGACGACCCAACCTTCCGGTTGTTCCATGTAGATCTCTTCCTCAAGATCACCGTTCAGGAATGCGGTTTTGACGTCCATAGACTCCATCTCCCAGTCCTCAAGCGCAGCGTGCGCAATGAGATACCGGATAGATTCGTACCGCGCAACGGGAGAGAACGTCTCGTGATAGTTCTCACCCCAAACCTGGGTGAAACCCCGTGCAACCAACCGTGCCTTAAACCGACCATCGTGCTTCTCGTCGTAAACCCATCTACAAGAGACGACAGGCTTGCCTTTGGGACGAGGCACTAGAACCCAGGTTTTGTTCTCGATCAGCGAATCATACTCAGCTTTCTCGGCAGCACGCCAGAGATCAGCCTTTGGAGAACGCATTGCTTCATGCCGATTACGAGGAATGCCTGGTTTGTACTGCGCTGCATCAAGAAGCAACTCAAGTAAAGCATCCGCATCCCCGGGATTAGGTGCATCAGAACGAGAGCCATCAGGACGAGTACGAGCGTCGACCTGAGAAGGACGATTGGAGCCCTCAGCTTCAGCATTGTCCTTTTCCCATCGAGGATTGCGACCTGCACCTTGACGATTCGAACGTCTAGGAGGTGGAGCCTCAGGGTTGACTCCCACTGGCTCATGACGATTACGAACATGTCGAGGTCGTGGTGGAGGTTGCTCTACAGGAGGTGGTTGTTGCGGTTGCGGTTGCTCTTGAGCAGGCGGTGTGGGAGGTCGTTGAGGAGGTGGCGGTTGTGCAGGCTCGAGATCGTCGAAGTCAATCTCGTTGCCATCGGGTAAAGGAATCCTAAAGCCCTCATTTGATGGAGAGCCCTCAGAATCCGAGGAAGAGTCTGAAGACGAATCATCGTCTTGGAGATCTGGGAACGGATTATCCCCTGGGGTAACGGGGCGATTGCCGGGTTCCTTACGTGCAGGGAAGACACTCTCATCGAAGGTCACATCGCGAGACACGACGATCGAGTGCTTAGCAGGGTTCCAAAACAGATACCCCTTGGTCCCATCTGCATAA